GATTTGAAGGGTTAGAACCCGTTGTACGCTATGTGACTGATAGATGGCATCCAAAGAAAGCTGAACTGCTGCGGAATGCAAAATAATTTGCTCAATATCAATAAATGAAGAGTATAGCCTATACGCGGTCAGAATTTCAGACAGTTTATTCATTTTCTCCAATTAGATTGCAAGAAGATTTGCAGAGAACCAGGCCATCCACGTGCAGCTTGACAATGCTCAATTGGCAGCGGAAGACTTTAAAATGAAGTAGGTTTACATTCCTTTGTTGCTCCGTGGTATTTCTTTCTACCCCATATTACTTTATACCAAATATGAAAAGAAATCCCACTACATTTGGGAGTTTTTGTTTTATTATTTATTTTTTTCTTTTGAGACCATACAATCGTTACCCCCATCAAAATCGTGAAAATAATGGCATCTGAAAGGGCTGCTTTTCTTCTGTAGATATGACATGGAGATGAACTTGCATTTGACCGTGGAGGCTGACGTATCCCGTCTCCGAGCAGTCCGCGACAGCTTGACTCTTGGCATCAGTGACTTGGAGCTAAGCATAGAGGATCTGAAAGCAGAGCTGGCGCAAATGAAGGCGAATCACAAGGAGGTAAAAGGCGTATAACAGAAAAACAAACCTATTAAACACTGCTAAAGAGATTGCGTGAGTCAATGCTTTCCATGGTGCAGTGTCGCCATCTGCTGGTGGTGGAAGCGCTTACACTTCTGGATGGATTGGAGATTTAAACACTTTTTTTGTTGTTGTGTTTTTTGTTTGTTTGTTTGTTTTGCATGTTGCAGGAGATGAGCCAGTTGAGCATCCAATGCAGTGGCTCTGTAAATGTAGAGGTGGACAGTGCACACTCTACAGATTTGACAAAGGTCCTGGAGGAAATGAGGGAGCAGTATGAAACTGTGGTGAGCAAGAACAAGCTGGAAGTCGAGAAATGGTTCCAGTCGAAGGTGAGGTTCCTAAAATGTTCAAAACGACTCCGGTAGATCCTTTAAAAAAAAAAAAAAGTTCAACTTTTCTTATTGAATTTTGAATGCTTTCTTTTAAAAAGGTGGAAATTCTCCAGAAGGAAATCATTGTTTCCCAAACAGATGTGAAAACGTTTCACAAAGAGTTGTCCATTCTGAAGAAGACCTACCAAAGTTTGATGATAAGCCGGCAAAGCGCACACACAGAGGTATGGAATAACAACCCAAAAGTACTGGATATGAAGGTTTTGTAACTGAAGCCAAATGCACATCGCAGTGTTAGGTCTAATAAACTCAGCTTGCTGAAGCTACGAAGTAGCAGACCCGCTCTTTTTTTCTCATATTGTACCTATCTCTGGTATCTTGGTGACACAGCTGCAAGCAGAGGAGGCAGGAAAGAGAAACAAGGAGAGGAGAGACAACAAACAAACATTGCCTTGGAGGCTCATTTAAAAAATAAAATCAGTGTTCAACACTACGACATAACATAACTGCCGTATTTTATGAACTCACATGTGATCATGACCTTTCAATATTTTTTAACTAAAATCATTGTGACATTTTGCAATGTGGCAAGAAACTCAAGACGGTTGAAGTGAGAGAAGGAAAACAGGATAAAAGACATGCTGTGGAAGAGAGACAGAGATTAATAACAAGTGTGGTTCAGCGCAGAGAGGTCTATTAACACATAATGAGTGAGAACGGTGACTGAGCAAGCAAATGAAAAAAAAAAGAATCCTAGAATATAAAATGCATCATCTGAAACAATAACAGAACACTAATCACCCCTTAAATGTTCAAGGAATTAAGAGTTATCTGCTATTTTAATTCCCCCTGTTTATAACAGTCATGAAAAACCATATTCATGAACTTATGAATTTCAAAATAATGTTGGTGGTGTATTTCTGCTCAAAAGCTGAGTTAAATGAGAAAATATCCAAAAGTATGTTGCAAAAAATCAAACAAACACATGAAAAAAACATTAATAAAACAAATAAAGGACAAATATACACATAGCTTGCCTATATTTGATTGGGAAATGCTTCATACTGGTTTACATCAGCAGATGTCGAGCCTGGTTAAAATTACTTTTGCTATTTGAAGCACATTAGGTTCGTAATGTTTTAATTGTTAGCGCAAGGGGAATGATTAAAAAATGTAATCAGTTTTTTCCAAACATATCAGGACATATATTAATTTGCTGTAACAGAGAGGAAGTGATTCTTCCCACTGACTGTACTCACATGGAGCTGTTGTAACCTCTCTGTCCTGCAGATTACATGCCTACAGGAAAATTTGGAGGAAGTGAAAAGTCGCTATAGTCTTCAGCTTCAACAACTGCAGTTCACCATCTCCACCCTGGAGACTGAGCTGCAGGAGCTGAAGGCCTCTCTTCTGCGGGTGCAAACAGAATATAATGAGCTACTGGACATCAAGATGAGGCTGGAAATGGAGATTGCTGAATATAGGAGGCTGCTGGAAGGAGAGCACTATGAAAAAAAGGAGTAAGAAATTAAAAATGTATCTGTTTTTAATCCATTATCAATTAAAGCAAACAAAAATGTTTTTAAAAAAATGTTTACGCTCTTCTTAGGGTGGTGGTCATCAGCAAGGTCGTAGAAGTGGAAGGTAAGAATCTCCATCACTCACTGAACCAGAACTTCAGATCTTGTCGCAGTAAAACTGAATTAAGCTCTTTACACTATAGTGATGCGATGCATTGTTTTTGCAGAGCGTAAACCCCACATTGAAAAACGAGTGAAGACAATCATCGAGGAAATTGTTGATGGACAGGTGGTCGCCTCCTCTGAGGCCACCCAAGTGGAAACAGTTCAGTAACCTGTGCTCCCCTCACCTGAGCTTCTAAGTTGTTAAAGTGCATGCTAGTTTCTTCTGGGTAGTTCTCTTTGTTTTCATCTCATTATAAATCTAAACATTGCAAAATGCAGAAAATGCTCATCTTTACACAGTGCACGAGCCTTTGGATAAGTATGAAACCAAACTATGAATAAAAGGCAGAAAAAAATAATGATGATTGACTGAGTGATTGTATTTCATTCCAATATATACCGCAAATGAAAAAAATATCACTATCATTATTTTTTATTCTGAGTTATAAATGTGTTTTCACATCCAGAAGAGGAGTATATTTTGAATACTGACCTTGCTTTGGGATCATTTAATCACAGAGCTAACAGAATCAACTTAAAATATAAAGCCACGGTCTCCTGTACTTTTCTTGTTTGGCTACTGAGGTAAAAATCACAAGAGTATGTGAAAACAAATGATGTATTTAGCTTGTAATTTCATATTTAACCACCAGGTGTCGCCTTTTATTTTCTTTTTAAAAGTGGTCCTGGCCCAACTTCAGTGGATTGATTGTATAACCTTATTTTGCTAAAGTGGAAACAGATTGTTGCTACACAAGAGACTTCTAGAAGCATGATCAGTTTCCCTTACAGAACAATAGACAAAGATCTGCAAAGAGCATAAAAATGAAGGCGCATTACAGATGCTATTTCCGAACTGTTGGAAAAATAGGTGACACTGGATCACAGGCATGGAAACACACAAAAGAAAGGAAAGAAATAAAATATCACAGAATACCTGTGTTATGTAAGCTTGTGCTCTAAGTATGAGTGAAGATGATGTTTGATTCATCACAGGCATCTTTATTTGGGTGGAGCTGAATCAAGTGGAGGCTTGAGATCTACAAAAAGCTTCTCAGTGCTTTGATGAGTTAATCTGCTGGTTAAAATGACTCAACCCAAAACTGCCTTCTTTTTGGTGCTTTTGTATTCCAGTACTTTGCCACACTGGTCAATCCTAAGTGCTATTAAACGTAATTATCGCCCTTAATTGTAAAAGTGAACCTTGCTGTTTCAGCTGTTTTCTACACAAAGAAATATCAAGTTAAGGCGAAGCAGTCATTCATACAATTCATCTAAAACTAACCCTGAGCATAAGTAGTTCATACAAAATTGTACAATTGTTGGACCGTATGCAACTTAGGTTCCTAATTTATGTGCATAAGGTCATGTTTTAAAGTGAAATTCAAATGTTACATTTACCTCAGGGGTTCAAATTTATGCATAATTCCAAAAGCAAAATGCAGTCACATATGGTGGGCAGATTCTCAGTGCACGTGTGTTTTTCTGTTGCACTCAGTCTGTGTATGTTTGATAAAAAAAAAACAGAAATTGTGTATTTTACTTGCTTGCTTGCATTACAGAGGGAATATTAGTACGGCATAGCATAGATATTGTGGGGTTTGACTGTGTGCACATGGTCTCTTTATCTATATCCCCAAATTTTTTTATGGTAAAAAAAGCAAATCTGTCTCAGTGAACATTGTTATGCTGTCTCTGCTGTAAATTTCCAGACCTATTGAATGAGATATTCCTTGCTATAGAGGGTGTGGCCAGTCATTGCAGGGCACTGGAAGAGGCAACAGAGACCAGTTTGGGCCTGAATCATAATAACTCGAAACATTCTCAGAAAAAAGTACCTTATTGCACCTTTAGACATATCACAGCGTGGGCTGGTACCGTCTGTGGTACTGTCATTTTAACCATGACATTGTCTATTTTGTACCTTTGTGGTTTGTACGTTACAAATGTTTCCTGCTCATATACAAGCCACATATATGCAGTGATAAAAAAGCATACAGCATGACTCATTAACTTGTAGAAGTCTCTTTAGCAGCAGTAACTTGAAGTCACCTGTAACTTTATCTGTTTTTTAGATCTTTGTGGAGGAATTTTGGCAAACTCATTTGTACATTGTTGGTTCAGTTCTTTGAAGTTTGTGGGTGTTCATTTCATGCACAGCTCTCAAGAGCCTGCCACACTATTTCAATCAAGTTGGGGTCTGGATTTTGGGCCATTGCAACTCCTTGACTCTTTTCTTTTTCAGTCATTCTGTTGTAGATTTGCAAGTGTGCTTGGGATCATTGTCTTTTTGCATGACACAATTTAGGCCAAGCTTTAGATGTTAGTATCACATTCAATTCTAGAATACTTTGGTATATGGTCGACTTAGTGACTGCAAGGTGCCAAGATCCTGTGAGTGGAAAACAATCCCGCATCATTACCCCTCCTTGACCATGCTGACAGTTTCTATGAAGTGCTTGTGCTGATATGCTGTGTTTGGTTTGCCTAAAACTGTTCTGTGCATTCTGAAAAAACATCTCTTTTTTGGTCTTACCTCTTCACAAGACATTGTTCCAGAAGTCTCGTGGTTTGTTCAATGGCAACTTTGTAAACCTAAGCATTGGAGCCATATTATTCTTTCTCCTGAAAACCCTTTCAAACAAGCCACATTAGTTTAGTGTATTGAATTGTTATGATCTTAACATGCTGAGGCCTGAAGAGGTTTTCAGACTTTAGGCTGTATTTGCTGTCCACTCCTGGAAAGATTGTGACTTTGTGCAAAAATACACCTGAATGCACCTGAAAATGAACCACAAAAATGTATACACGACTGGTTGCAATAGTTATATTTGTGTAGACTATACCTGTAGAGAATGAAACTGACTTTCGCTGTACCTGTAAATCTGAGAGTGCACACATGGAGAAAGGCAGATGAGCAAAAAAACCCCCAAATGATTCTGTAATGAATCATCAGAACTCTCGCTTTCTTGCCTAAAGGGGGGAGATATTGTTTTATACTGGCTCATATGTAACATACTCAAACCCAGGAAAAAGCTCTCTAAGCTATTTGATCATGTCACAGCACATTTTAAACATGGTGTTCCTGTTCTCACCCCAAGCTGCATTTATTTCTGTCAATGAGGCACTTTATACTCAGGCTTGAACACGCCTTTGACATTCCAAGAAACTGGATACGTGACACTGTAAATCTGTCAGAAGAGTTATGGACACGGTTTTTGGCAAAAGTCCAGTAAGTTTAACTGCAAGTACATTTCTCCTTCACGCTATATACAATAGTCTTCCACAATGGCATAAATGTAGTGAATATTGTTTTTAGTCTTATCTTCTTAAGATCTGATTATGGCTTTAAGTGATTGGCATCAGCACTGGTTCTCAGGAATATCTCAATTACAACCATTCATACTTCATTCATAATTTCATACTTCACACAACAGCTCACCTTGCCCTACACATACAATTACGCTAATCAACAGAACTGATGTAAAACCACAGCACGGTTTTTACTGTCAAAGAAAACAAGTGTGCAAATTGTTTCGCAATCAACAAGAGCGTAGTAGGCCCACACCCGAAGGCAACGGGTGACTTTTTAACAAGCGAACATTTGACACTTTTTAAAATATATATTTAGTACAAGACCTTGAACAAGACCTTTGTGAAAATTCATTTTTTATTTTGATTTTTTCCCCCCCATTCAACATAATTACAAATGCAATTCCAAAAAAGTTGGGACCCTGTGTAGAATGTAAATAGACACAGAATGACAAGATTTAGAAAATCTCCTAAACCTATATTTTACTCACAATAGAACACAGAAGGGCAATGTTTTTCACTATGTAGCATCGGCTGTCTTCTTTTAACAGCAGTCCATGAACACCTGGCAACTGAGGAGAGCAGTTGTTGGAGTTTTGAGACAGGATTGTTGTCCCATTCTTGTTTGATATAGCTGCCCAAAGTCCTGGCTCTTCTGTGTTGTGCTTTTTGTTTCATGATGCACCTGATGTTTTGAATTGGTGAAAGGATTGGAATGAATGTGGTTTAGCATACTATACTAAAACACATACTTTACCAAAATATGAAAAATCTTTGCCTGAAAAAGATATCAGCATTGGTGGTGCCTTTTCAGAGGCAAGCTCGCAGTTTCATGGCAACTAATCCTCCCCAGTGCAGAGATGCAGTCTTTCAAACTAAGCATTGATGGCAAGCTGGACGGACCCTTTCTGCTTCAGTCCAGAGAATGGAGTGTTAATATTGTCCAAACCATGGAACAGTTTTTCACTTTGCCTCAGTCCATTTTAGAATGAGCTTTGGTGGTCCAGAGAAGACAGTGGCTTTTCTGGATCATGCTCATATATTCCTTCTTTGTGGCACGATCCAGCTTTAACCTGTATTTGTGGCTGGCACAGCGAATTGACAGGATCATGCCTGCTTTTAACGCAGCACCACCTGAGGGTGATCGCAAGCATCTAAGTACTGATTTTCAGTTCCCTGTGCACAGAGATTTCTCCAGATTGTCTTTTTGATGATATTATGTGCTTTAGATGAAGAAATATTCAGTCTTAAGTTATACGTTGAGTTACACTAAATGGTTTTTTTTTCAGGAGATTGGTGAACCTACACTGATCTGTACCTTTGAAAAACGCCTCTCTAAGATCCTCTTTTTAAACCTAATCATGTTACTAAACTGTCGCCAGTTAACCTAATTAGTTGTATTTTCCTCTACCTGTTTCTTTTTAATTCCACTTACTTTTCCAGCCTTTTCCTGCCCCCATCACAACTTTTTAGAGAAGTGTTGCAGCAGTCCAATTCAAAATGGACTCATATTTTCCTTAAAATAATACATTTCCTCAGTTTAAATGTATGACTTGAATTCTATGTTCTATTGTGAATAAAATAAGTGTTTGTGCTACTTTTCTTTACATTTGGATTTGCATCAATAGATCATCTTTTATGAAAAAGGGAAGTGCACTCTTGGGTGTAGAAGTTAGTGGTTATATTGGAGAATAAAAATCTTGGCTAATTGCTAACATAATGCTGACGGCAGGGGTGGCAAGTTTTAAAACACCTCCAAACTAACCAAACTAACTCTAATACTTCTTCATGCAATGTTTCATTCTAGCACAAGTAAGTAAAAATATTTAAGTGAATGCACTTTGTCATGTTGTGTAGCTTTCTATTGAATTCGTGATCTACAGATCAGTGAGTATGAGATTCCTGTCTGTGCAGGTTTTGCCTAATGCCTAAGGAAACATGAGCTGTTCATCATTTTGACAGGATTCTTGACAGCAGCCAATTAGCCACATTATTAAAATGTTCATACCTAGAAGTTAATAAATGTTCCTTTGTACTCTCACAGTAA